GTCAGAATCACTTCTCTAAATACTGCTTTTTCACCCTTGATCCAGTTATGAGCTCTTCCCATGGCCAGGTGACCAATGTGCTGTTTTCTTCAGGGACTGTTGACATTCAGAAATGTGGCCATAGAATTTTTTCAGGAGTTGGAATGACTGGGTCTTAGGGGGATTTGTTCATGGAATTGAGGTTATAAAACTACAGGAACCTGGTCTCCTTCCATAAGGTGNAACTACAGGAACCTGGTCTCCTTCCATAAGGTGAGCTTCCTTCCAAAATTTCTAATCCACCCTCAGGGCTCAGTGTCTTTAACTTTTAGAATGTATCTTGGGAGTTTCTCCCTTGCATGACTATGTTTATGACCCTGTTTAAGGAAGCTGTTTGGGTTTCGTTGGTGTAAAATGTTCAAAGTATATATATATATTTTTTAGCTTCACCTTTTTTGGCTAGGTCATCTTCCCTTTGTGTGGAATTTCTGAAGGTGGTGGTAGTTGGTGTGTGGATCAACCAGACAGCAATCTGCAGGCTAAAGAAATCAATAAAAGGTTATTTCTAATAAGGGCATCCTTGTGGTTTCCTCTGAACTAATATCAATTTCTCAAACTTTCATCGTTTTTTTCCTAATATTTTAGATAGGTTGTATTATTTTAAATAATTAAATACTTAGATTCAAGCAGACTGAAGCTTTGGAAGATAAACTGTTCTTAAGCTACAAAAGAGAAAGAACCCTTCCCCTGTTCCCCTCTCTTCCCAGGCTCCCAGGGATGAGCTCACTTCCCCTGAGCTCTGCTCACTGCGTGGAAACTGACCTGACATTTCTCTATAAGTGAATTTTCCCAAGTAGGGATGAGAGAAAACATACTTCCTAGTAGATTTTAACTAACAGGTCCAATTTCCATAATAGGTACTGAGGGTAGAACTGGAGTTATTGGATATTTCATTATTTAGTTTACATACTTTAGGGCTCATGTTACAGAGAATATACCTGCCTACCAAATGCCCTTAGATGTATTGCAAAATTAAAGAATCTTTAGGTAAAAAGTAACACAAATATCTTCCTGAGCCTATGTATTTTACAGGTTTTACCATTCACACCTGACAGAATATTCAGAAATAAAAAACAAACCAAAAAAAATAGAGCTTAAAGATACTACTAATGAAAATAAACTTCTAATTACTCTCAGAAAAGCTATAACAAACTTGAAATTACATTATGTTTAGAGATTATTGACCTATATATACTGTGATGTGAACAGGTTTATCTCAAATGTGTTTGAAGGTGATCGATTTCAAGTGTGCAATAGAACAATTATTTTTTAAAATGAAATTTATAAAAATTTTATTTCTTTGTTTAAAGCAGTGCTCAGTGACCTCAGTATCACATGACTTAATCTTCCACGTCTCCTTGAGTTCTTATGAACGTCTCTGGATTTTCTCGATGTGGAGTCTTGGCCTCCCTGGTCAATGGGGAATAGGAAAGAAGATGCTGCTGAGTGTCAGCATGAAGTAGCCTCTTCTACCAGGGAGAATTGTGTAGTCACATTCTAGTTCTTAATCCTCACAGAGACTATTGCATTTTTTTGTTTAATTAACCTGCTGACATCAATTCTAATTGCCGACGTGTTCCTGGGTTCAGTTCCCTCCCCACATCCAGCACCTCCATGAGATCCCAGGAGCTCCAGTGTTTCTTCAGCCTCACTAGCAGGACCTGCACGCAATGCATGGACAAAATAGCTTTTGACATAAATATTTTCAACTGTTGAGACAAAATAACTTAATTTCCAACAAAAGTGGCTCACATAACTATAAGCTTGTAACTTAAAGTTCCTAGATATAGTAACCGAAAATGGAGAGGAATTAATCCTGTTGGACCAGACTCTAAAGACAGGAGCCTTTCTAAACCCAGGAAAGAAACCTTGGGCTGAAAGCTAGGGCACCCTTTGCCCTGCCCATATGCAGAATTCATTTTCTTGTGGTCACTGTACATGCCTGGCCTCTCGCCCATCCCTGCCTCCTGTCGCTTGCTCTGTTCCCTGGCCTCACAAACACAGGTTTCCTTCCTCTTATTTGCTGGCCTCTCAGCATGTCAGCCCCACCAGCAGAGCTCTGACCAGGCCTCTTCTCTTTACCCAGCTGTCCTTCAGCTTGTGGGGGTTCCTGCACATTCCTGGCCTCTCACGGTGACCCCACCCCCTTTACTTGTGCCCCACCCTGGCCCCTTCCCCAGGCGCTGGCTGAGGCTTCCAGCTCCATTTCCTACAGACCTGGAAGCTGAGAGTCTGGAACCGTCATCACACTGCAGAGTGTGAATTTCAGTCTTCCTTGTTCATGCCTGCTTTTCACAGCCCCCTTCTTCATACAGTGTCTGGGGTTCTTCCTGGACCTTAGAGTCCCCTCAGCTGGTCCTGCCCTCCCTGTAAATTCAGGCATCACCAGGAGAGCCCAGGGATCATTCTTTGGGGCTTAAAATCACTGCCAAGCTGATCGCTGCCCTCCGGGTTTGTGCGCTCAGTCCACGTTGACCGGCCGTTATCAACAGTTTTCTCACGCTTTACCTACCTCTCTCCCATCAGGGGCCATTAAAGTCTTTCCTGGAGGTGGGTTCCCGCCTCCCACCCCCGCTCCAGGCCTCTGTGGGCAGTGTCCTCACCTGGCACCAGGAAAGGCCATGGGATCCTGTTGTCCCCACCTCTGTCCTGGACACTGTCCCCGACCCTAATCCCCGCAGTCTTTCCAGTTTGATCCTTCAGCTTTCGGGCGGCCTCTTTGCAGTCCGTGCTGTGCATGGGTTTCATCAGAGCCAGGCCCGCGACCTGAATGGGAGTGTGGGTCCAGCGAGTCCCCACCGCTGAGGTGTGTGAAGGTGTCACCAGCAGGGTGCGTGGCCTGAGGAAAGAGGTGGGAAACTCACTTGTTGGTCTCTGAGAGCAGTTTACTGTCCCCAACCCCTCCTGGGGCAGCGGGCAGCAGACTCGTCTCTTCCACTTGGTGAGGTCTCTCCTGTGCCTGGTCGTGGCACAGGAAGGGCAATGTCGGCAAACAGCACATTTTCAACTTCCCAGGTTGACATCCAGAGGCTCTTGCTTACTGAGGAGACGCTCAGAAGAGGAGGGAGAGGAGAGAGAGGCTCGGCAATGGCTCTTCCTCAGGTAAAGTCATGTCCTCGGCTGCTTGCTGAGTCTGTCCTTGCCGATGCCCTTTGCCTTGCTGACCTTCTCCGACTCTGAGTTGTCCTGTCTGACATTTGTTTGCACTCACCCTGAGCCTCTCCTCATCCCCTCATCTCTAGTTAGATCCCATCTCACCATGACCCAGCGATCTGGGTACTTTCACCACCCGGGACAAAGCCGGATGCACATGGCGGCCACGCAATCCTCACAGATCCCTGTATGTTCTGGAGCAGGGAGCACTGCGGGGACATCTCTGTGACGGCTCTTAGAGTGTGTTAGAGCCATATGAGCGAGTCACTGACTTCAAAATCTTCATGAGAAAAAGTGGAGCAGAAAGTTCACAGACCTCACTGGCGAACAGTGTTATGTTCTATTCTCCATTTAAAATAGGAAATCAAGCAAAATGTCTGACAGTTCAGGATATTTTAGATAGTTTTTATGACATTCATTTCCTGAAGGTCGCATTTTTACTCTGACTGTATCCTTCCTTACAGAAGTTTCTATATTTGATGCAGGTAAGTTCCACCTACATTCTTTTTCCCCAGTCCTCACCCAAGGACATGTTCATTGATCTTAGAGGGGAGAAGGGGGAGAGGGAGAGAGAGAGAAACACCCATGTGAGGAAGAACACAAATTGGTTGTTTTCCATAAGTGCCCCGACTGGGGATTGAACCCGAAACCTAGATATGTGCTCTGGCCTGGAATTGAACCCATGACCTTTTGGGATACAGGGTGATGCTCAACCCACTGAACCACACCTGCCAGGGTGTCTGGACAGGGTCCATGTCCCCTGAGGGTCTGGAGTCAAGGACTCGACCGTCCCACAAGTTCCCTTGAGGAGGTTTGCTATCTGAGAGTAAGAAATACCAAGGTCTGGGCTCATGCAGGAGGCAGGGTGTTTACTCTGAAAGTGTGTCTGTGCAGCCTTGAGGGAGCTACTCTGTATCACCCTCACCTCATTACCAGTTGTTTGTTACTATATAATAAAGGCGTTGAAGCCATTTGGGGTGCTGCTCATTGGGGGGCAGCCCTCCTGATCCCGTAACCGTGTTCGTCTCTTTCGTTCCCACCGCTCGACCTCAGGTTTGTTCGTTTCTCAGGCTGGTTCCTGACACCAGGGCCTAGCGACATTCTTTTGCATGTAGAGATCCACTCCCCTTGCCCCCACTCACACCGTCTGTTACAGACTGACAGCTCTCCAAATGTATGTTTGATGTCCTTGAGGAAAATCATTTGGCGTATGTACAGGGGTTCATAATATGCCTTTCCATCTAAAAAATGGAAGCCTCCAGCTTCTGTCTCTGTTTTGCCTCTCCTGGATCCTGTTTGCTCGATTTCATCGGAATTCAACTTTGTTGTTTTCTACTTCTGCCAAAATTGCCTTTGGTATGTAAACATTTGAGCAGTATGACTCTCACAGTTCATGAGTCAGGGATGTCTTTCTACTTAACGTGTATCTTTGATTTCTTTTTGCAGTGTTTTGTTTTTGGTGTATAAGTCTTTCACCTTGTAGTATATGTTTATTCCTATGTATTTTGCTTTTTTTCCCTGATGCTTTGCTAAATAGGATTGTTTTCTTAAGTCTTTTTAGGTTTCTCACTGCAACTTTTCTACAATAATTTTCTAGTTGTAACCTTTTTTGCATGTGTATGTGGAATCTTTATGGTTTTCTTCATGTAGGAGCTTTTCATCTCCAAAAACTGTTTTACTTTTTTCAACTTGCATGACATGTATTTATTTTTTATGTGTAATTCATCTGGGTACACCTCCAATACTTTGTTGAACAGCAGTGCGAAGGCTGTGCATTCTTGCCTTTTTTCTCCCCTTAGAGCCAATCTTTCACATGCCCATCCTTCAGTATGACAGTGGCTGGGTGCTCTCCACATAGGGCATTTCTATGGGGAGGTCGTTCATCATTAATAATTTTAAAGGGTGGTTGATTTTTGACAGCTGCCTTCTCTGCATCTATCAAGATCTTGTGTGTGTGTTTCATTTTTTTCATTCTGTTAATGCCATGGGTTATATTGAGTGATGTTTTTATGGTGAAACTTTCTTGCCTGATAGAAATAAATTTCTCCTGGTCAGTATGTAAAATTGTTTTCATGGACTACTTAATTGGTTTTACTAGCATTTGTTTTTGCACCAATAATGATGAGGAATATTAATCTGTAGTAGTTTTTTCTTGTGCCTTTCTTGGGTTTCCTATAAGTATCATGAAGATTCCATAGAACGAGTGCAAGTGGTCATTTTCCCATTTTTAAATGGAAATGTGTGGTAGACTTTTGCAGTGAAGCCATCTGTTCTAGGTTTCTGCTTGAATCTCTCTAGTTATAACTTATTTCACATTTTTAACTTTTCCATGATTGATTTTTATGTTTTTAGAAATTTATCCATTTTCTGGCAAGTTATATAATTTGTATAATAGTGTTCATAGTACTCTCATAATATTTTCTTTATTTTTTGTAAATATATCTTTATTGATTTTGTTCTAGCCACCATGGCCAGAAGAATATACCTAAGGAACTAACGGTAAAGGTAGAACAAGATCCCTACTGTACAGGACAAGGCCCGACAAGCTAGCCCAATAATTACCGCCCCCGAGTTCCCATAGAAAGAACAAACCAGTCACACTCCGGCCAAGCATAACCCCATTACTTGTTGTAAGACATTGTGTTTAAATTGTTCCTTTTATGTTGCTAAAGGTCCCCCCTTGTTTCCTGTACCAAAAGCTGACAGCCTGATAAATTCTTGGAAACCCCTTTACTGCAGTGCCTTTGTGGTTGCTGAGTATAAAGTGAGAGAAGAACCGAGGGTCAGGGCTGCAGTTCGGCTCTCACGTGGGTGAGATGCCCCAACTGTAGCTGCTGGCCAGCTAATAAAGGCTCCAAAATTCAAACACAAACTCTGGTGGTCGTCTGTCTTGGGTCCCCCCCCAGAAGACTTTGTCCTTTGTTAGTCATAGACACCAACCACATATCTTAGCCAGTTCTTTCTTCAACTGCAAATTCAACCTTAAGCCCAAAGTAGTACTCTTCCCAGCCCAGGACTTGTGGCTTCTCTCCAGAAAGTGCTGCCTCTCACATGAAAACACTGCACTCCCAGTTATGGCGAATTATCACACTAGACCATCTCTCCCAATTAAGTCCAGGTCACCAAGTGACAAAACCAAAAATCTTTCTCCCTTGCAGGTGTGGCTCAGTTGGTTGGGCATTATTCCCTTCTCCAAAAGGTCACCGGTTGCTTTCTGGTCAGGGCACATGCCTGGTTTGGGGGCTCCATTCCCAGTTGGGGGCATGCAGGAGGCAGATGATAAATGTGGACTCTCTCATCATTGATGTTCCTCTCTCTGTCTCCCTCTCCCTTCCTCTCTCTGAAATCGATGAAAATATATTTAACAAAATAAAAAATCAATCCATCAATCAAAGCCAACAAGAAGCTCTGACCTGGCTGGCTGCTAACTCTCACCTGCGTGGGAGGTGAGGGGGATTTGCCAGCCGCTTCCTCCCAGTGCTCCCTTTCCCCTTGACAATCAAGGCCTCATTACACAGCTTAAACCTTCCTTTCCAGCAGGAGTAAAAATCATTGTAAAGACAGGAAACGAAGAAAGATTTGTCTCAATGAATATGCCATACTAAGCGGGACACATAGAGAACAAGGAACTTGCCTAGTAGGCAAATCTCACCCCAGGTTCATTCCACGCTTTCTTCCTCGCACCGCAGCCTGGAGGCCCAAGCCTTGGTTTCCTGCTTTCTAGGCCACTTGTCTTGGGTGATATACATGATTTGAAAATGAGAAAGGTATCAGGAATTGTTGGGGGAAATCTCCAAAATTACAAATTCAGGATTGATTCAGAAGGCAGCCTCATTCAAATCCATAAGAGCTCTCATAGGAGAAACGTACATACGGGGCAAAGCGGCTGCTCCCAGTGGTGGCCGTTGGGAAGAAACTCACCCCCTCCCAAGACAGGGTCTTTCTTTAATAGAAGGTTAATAGTGAACGCATGTGGTGGGCAGTCAGGTAGACCACCAGAAAGAACGGTGCATTCCCACCTCACACAGCATCAGGCGGTTCTCCACACTCCATACAGTCATTAGCCCCCTTCCTAGGGCCACGGACTTGAACCTTGGGGGGCATTTCAGCTTTCTGAGTGGTCATCCAAGCCTGAGGCTGCAGAGTGCCAAACGGTCACAAGAGGCTTGGCCGGGCTGGCCTGGGATCCGGGGATGGTCGGCCTGGGTCAGGGCGCCGGCCGGGCGTGGGCTCCGCCCCAGCAGGAGGCCGCAGGAGGCAGCCCACTGATGTTTCCTCTCCCTCTCCCTCCCTCTCTCTGAACTCAATAAAAATATTTTTTTAAAAAGTCACAGAAGGTGAAACAGAG